AGGAGGGGGCCGAGAGCAAGAGGGCACCGTTTGAGACTTCCGAGGATGTGAATTTCATCACAGAAACCACTGAGGATTTCGTGGGCGCGGGTTTGGAAATAAGACCGACGAGTTCCGAGCGGGAACGGGTTTCGAGTACATGTGCGAGTCCGACACGAACGACAGCTCGATCAAGGACTGCGAGTACTTCGACCCGATTTCGGAGATTTTCGGCGACCCAGACCACACCGACACGATCGAAGTACGTGACTACCGATACGTGTGAGACTTCTTTCAGGGGATCTCAGAGGCCTGAGAGTGTCTCGAATGGGTTCGAGAAGACTCCAAAGCCCCCAGAGATGAAAGTAACTGATGTCCTACACGAGAAATGCAAAGCACCTCAGATAATCATGAATGATGGTGGCGGTGATGCTGATTGCGATCCGCAACGTGGTGGCTCAAGATCCAGGTTTCAGTGGATCAACGCCAAACGGGTCAAGGCCATCAGGGGCGATGCCCGGGGCGGCAGCGGCGGCTTCGACGCCCGCAGCCGACGTCCCGATCGACAGCAACAAGCACCGCAACATCAAGAAGGGCCAAGGCCTCGACGGTGGTTCAGGACATCGGAGGGGCAGTGGGGACCGACAGCGACGACAGACCGATCCAGAGCGATGGGGCAAGCGGACCATCGGCGACTGGATGACACTGGATCGTCGGGACCTGCGACTGGACTGGGACAGAGCGGAGGCTGCCAACGAGAAAGACGATCGCTACACGGGCAATCCCTGCTACGGCGAGCGCGACACGACGCGCCCGCTGGCGAGGCGCGCCAACGGATGCAGGGTGAGCTACAAGTGCGTGAGATGCGAGCTGGTCATGCTGTACATCCCGAAGCACGGGGCGACGGGCAGGTACAGGCAGAAGGGAGCTCTGGGACCGACCGTGGGAAAGATCAAGATCGAAGAAGTGACGAAGGAGAAGGTCACCAAGGAGAAGGCGACGTCGGAGAGAGATCCGGACCAAGATCGAAGAGGTGTCTTCGGAGGACTCATTCGAGAAGGCTGGAGAATCAGAGGAGGAGGAGACGCCGTGCCCGAGCACCGATCAGATGAGCAAGGCCGACATGATGTTCGACCAGATGCGCAACAGCACCAAGCGGAGGACGGACCCACCGACTCGCAGGAAGAAGAAGGAGTCTCCCCAGGCTGGGGAGCCCGTGGGTCCTTGAGAACCGACCTAGACGTACCCTCAGGGGACGACGACGTCATCACGTTCGGGATTGACGTCGAGTACCACAAGGAGGAGATTAACCTGAAGGGCTACAGCTGGGTGCTAGAGCAGGTGGCAGAAGCTGGGTTGGCGACAGACCTCAACGTGAAACAGCTGATCGAGTTCTGCACGGAGGAGGACAGCCAGCTCGGGAAGGTCGCGGAGGAACGCGAGGACGCCGAGATCATCAGGATCACGCGGAAGGACGCGGATTTCATCACGAAACATGGACTGGAGTTGGCCAAGAACCTGGCGGTGAAAAGCCCTGGAGCAGACATCTGGGGAAACCTGCCGTGTACAGCCGTCAGCGCGCTTCACAACGGTTACATCGGCAGACAGGATGGCCAGTACTGGAAGAAGCTCGAAGCACGAAAGAAGAACCTTAAGAAGTTTGTGAATCACTTCATGGAAGTGAGCAGGATTGTCAAGGACAATGGTGGGGGCGTGCACATTGAGTGGCCGCGTAACTGCCATGGCTGGAAGTACTTCCCGGAGCTGATAGAGTTCTTTGGTGAGCTGGGCATGGAGAAGGTGAACTTCGACGAGTGCCAGGTCGGGGTGGTCAACACCAAGGGCGAGCCGATATACAAACCGTGGGCGCTGTGGACCAGCAGGAAAAAGCTCGCAACGGCCCTGAGTGGCAAACGTTGCCCAGATCACCAAGGACACGGACATGCAGAATGCTGTGGGAAGGATGCTACATTATCGGGCAAATACCCCTCACGAATAGCAAGGATCATCTGGCGGAATATCGTGGAACCGCCGAAGCTGATGGGCATGATCGAGGAGCTGAGGCAGGAGGAAGCCCTGGCGAACGACAACAAGGAGATGTTCGACCATGAGAGGGAGCTAGAGCTGACCAGCGACGAGCAACAACAATGGAACGACCTGCCGGCGCTGAAGCAGAATGAGTTAATGAAAGCAGCGATGCGGCTGCATCGGAATACTGGACGTCGACCACAGAGGGTGATGATCAGGATCCTGCGCAGATGTGGGGCTTCAGCGACGACAATCGCAGCCGTGAAGCAGATCAAGTGCAGCTCGTGCGTTGAGAATCAGATACCAGGACCGAGACCAGCAGCGGTACTCGAGCCAGCTCGAGATCTATGGCAGGTGGTCGGCATCGACGTGAAGGAGATCGTAGGCAACGACCAGATCAAGCGGAAGTACCTTGTGATCGTGGACGAGGCGAGTAAGCTGACGCTGGCGGTCAAGATCTTCTCAATGCCCGCTCAGGAGTCGAGGAGCTGCACCGCCAAGGAGCTGCTGGATGCGTTCAGAGGACATTGGTCAGACCGGTATGGCATGCCAAGCGTGCTGAGGCTCGATCCGGAAGGAGCATTCGTGTCACACGAGTTCTATGACAGTATTGCAGGTGAAGGAGTGCAGGTGGATCCGTGTGCCACCCAGGCTCACTGGCAGAATGGCGTCGCGGAGCGTGCAATCAAGACGGTGTTCGAGTGCGCCAAGGCCATGCATCGTGATCATGAGACCGACCTGGAGGCAGCTGTACATGCGGCGGTGGAGGCACACAACACGGTCGAGAGAGTCGATGGATACAGTCCGAGCCAATGGGCCTTCGGACGAGACAAGAATTGGTCAGGGACTCTCAAGAAGGAGGATCACCTGGACGTCGTGAAGTGCACGAACCAGAGCTACATGGAGAACCTGTCCAAGCGGGTGCTGGCATCAAAGATCAGTGGCGAGCGGATTCTCAAGCAGCAGCAGGCGAGAGCAGCAGCAGCACGATATCAACGACCACAACGCCTGTATCCTGGGATGCTGGTATGTGTATGGAGATGTGGCAAGCAGGCTAAACAACCAGCACCAGCAGGACCACGACATCATGGGATTGACAAGGGCAGATGGTTTGGACCAGGTACCATCCTCGGGGTGCAGACGACCAAGACAAGCGACGGGACGCTCGTTCAATCCAGAAAGGTATGGGTCGTGATGGGGTCGAGGCTGTGGAGGTGTGCACCCGAACAACTACGAGCGGCAAGTCCAAGAGAAGAAAAGATGTTCTTCGAGGAAAAGCACACGCCCTGGACATTCGTGGAAGGACTGGAGAGTCTCAACAAGGGGGAGGTGATTTCCGTGGACAAAGAGGACGCGCCGATGAATGAGGAGACCTACACACCGGAGACCACAGCTCGTGCACCAGAAGACGGAGACAAGGAGGACCGTTGGGAAGAAACTGAGTTCGAAGGACGACCTGCACACAGCAGAGTACATTTACGACCGAGAGTGGCGTTGTTTACGCCAAGAGGCTTCATATCCAAACCGGAAAAGACGACCATGGAAAGGATCGCCGTGATCAGGTATGAGGACGGATCCGAGGAGACGGTCAAGGACGACAACTGGAACGTGCATGGGAAGTCTACGAGGTCAATGGGACGACGCTGGACTGGCAGGACCTACCTGTTTCCCATCACGGACAAGCCAGAGGAGATGAAGGTAGACCAGAACGCCAAGGAGGTGATCCATGAGAAGGCGAAGAATATGGTCGTGGAGCAGGTGCGGGAGACCCTTGGGGACAATGGGAAAGACCAGCCGTCAATGGATGACATCGAGAGCGAGAAGGTAGAGAACGCGAAACAGACAACTGCAGGAGGAGCAGATCTCAAAAGACGGATCGTCGAGAAGAGAACAGTCAAGACCGACTTGTTCGAAAAGACGAAGAGGAGGGTCAGGATGTGGACCAACTTCGGACCAGCACTGAGGAGCTACAGTGCCTTCTTCAACGACAAGATCGCGGACGGTGACCAGATGGACTGGGGCAAGCTCGACTGGGAGAACTTCGACGTGACGGCGTGGGCTGCTACGGGGATCAGGAGGACCTGGAGATCCCGACGGGGACCGACTACATCGAGGTAGCGTTCGAGGCGTTCGACGCGAACAGCATGAACAAGTTCACGAGGCAGCCGGGGCAGTACATCACCAAGGCGATGAAGAAAGGAAGGTCTGAGGCAAGTGTCAAGCACATGACCGACGAGCAGAAGAGTCTGATGAAGGGGGCGAAGCTGGTCGAGGTGAGAGACTGGATCGCCAACGACGTGCTGGAGAGGTTACCGTCACACATCAAGCCGAAGTCGTCGGACGTCCTGAAGACGCGCCGGGTGCTCACCTGGAAGAAGGACGAAGCGGCAGGAGGCAGCCGAGCAAAGGCGAGACTGGTAGTGCTGGGATATCAAGATCCTCGGCTAGGAGAAGAACCAGTGGCATCGCCGACCATGACCAGGAGAGCTCGGAACATGATCTTCCAGCTGACGGCCATGAAGAAGTGGAAGCTGAAGAAGGGGGACGTCAAGGCAGCTTTCCTGCAAGGAAAAGGGATGCCAGACGACAAGCCGACCTACATCGAGGCCAACGATGAGCTGGCGGAGGAGTTCGGAGTACCTGGAGGGACAGCGGTGAGACTAAAGAAGGCAGTGTACGGACTATGTCAAGCACCAAAGTCGTGGTACGATAGCGTGGACACCCTGATGGAGCAGCTCGGTGGACAACGATGCGTGTCGGACCCGTGCGTCTGGGTTTTCAGCGACGAGAACAACAACGTGTTCGGGGTAGTTGGCGCACACGTGGACGACTTCCTGATCGCCGGAGATGGTGGAGTTCGATGGCGAGAGATCGAGGTGAAGCTGCAGAAGGCGTTCCGCTGGACTCCATGGGAGAAAGGAAGCTTCAAGCAGACCGGACTGTCGGTCATGCAGACGGCCAGCAGCGGGATCACCATACACCAGAAGGAGTTCATCGACAACATCACCGAGATCAACATCGGACAGGAGCGTCGCAAACAACGGGACCATAAGCTGACGGATAAGGAGATGACGATGCTTCGGGGGGCACTAGGCGAGATCCAGTGGGTGGCGACGCAGACGATGCCGAAATATCAGGCGCAGTGCTCAATGCATCAGAGCAGTGGACCGACGGCGACAGTGGAGACGCTCTTCGGGATCAACAAGCTGATCAGACAGATGAAGAACGATCACGGCTACAAGCTGAAGTTCGAGAGTTTCGAGGGAGAAGGAGTGGTCGTAGGCTGGAGTGATGCAGCCTGGGCGAATCGACCAGACGGGCTCTCGACAGGAGGATGTGTGATCGGGATTGCGCCAGCGGACATCCTGAACGGCAAGCGGGCCCCAGTTGGCTGGGTTTCGCATCGCAGTGGTAAGCTACAGCGCGTGGCCAGGAGTTCGTTGGCGGCCGAGGTTCAGGCGCTGACAGTGACAGAGGACGAGCTTTTCATGGTGAGAATGATGTGGGCCGAGCTGAACGGTTTTGTTTCGGACGTGGCCGTGGGAACCGCGAGCGAGAGCAAGACGGCAAAGCCGATGCTGGAGGGCGTGAAGCAGGTGCGATCGTGCCTGTGCGTGGACGCTCAGAGCATCTACGACTGTCTGGCCAAGCAGGTGCAGATGCAGAGCCTGGCTGAGAAGCGGGCGGCGCTCGAGCTGATGGCCTTCGAGAAGTGCATCAACGAGACAGAGTTGATTGTGCGGTGGTGCCACTCCGAGGCCAACCTGGCCGACAGCTTGACAAAGACGACAGCTACAGGGCCCATCGACCTGTACATGAAGACGTGGAGCTGGGCACTGGTAGACGACGACGAGCAGCTCAGTGCCAAGAAGCGTAAGGGGCGCGGGATGAGCAGGTTCGAGAACAACAAGGATATCTTTGGCCTCATCAAGATGGCATTCATGAAAGTGGGAGTGCCGTTGCCAGATGCAGACGATACCATGATAGTGAGTGAACCTACATCCTATGACTGACGCCGCTGTGCTGCAGTTGCCTGTCCTGTTGCCTGTCTTATGGCCTGTTATACTGCGTGTTTTTGGTTTCTGAGACGCACCAGAGCGGGTGCTGACGTTTCGAGGCTCTAAGCCGTTTCCATGGAGTAGCTGCGACAAAGATTTCTGGGGATGCGAACTCAATCGTGTCTGTTTCGTTTCCGTAAGTGCGAGACGAGTGTCATTTGCAGCTATCCGTAATCATGGTGGCTTAGGGGCCCCTTGAGCCGCCTTTTGGGCGGTCAGACACATTACTTGCTGTTTCCGTAGAGCCAGCCAGATTATCGAGATTGAAGATCCGAATATTCAGACAAAGAGATTTCCCTGGGACAGATTCGAGGGCTGGCTATCTGGAGAATACCCGGACTGCGTGCAGACCAACGCTTGCGGCGAGGAGACATCTTTGGCTTCGCGCGTGCTGAGGTAAAAGAGAGGTTGAGATCCACGGACCTAGAGAGAGTTGACGACATTGCATCAACACTTATTCAGAGACACCTATCGGTGAACCTGCAGGATGGGGGAGGGGGAGGGGGAGGGGGGAGGGGGGAGGAGGGAGTAGGGAGGAGGCGGGAGGAGAGAGGAGGAGTAGGTTCATGGACAGTCGCGGATGGGGGAGGGGCGCCGACACGGAGCAGCACGCCACCCGGGCGGCGTGCTTCGCCGGTCAGGGTGGGAACCCGCCTTCGGGGGTGCCAGCCCAGCACCTGCCACCTCCTCCTCCTCCTCATCCCGCCCTCCTCCTCCTCCTCCTCCTCCTCCTCCTCCTGCCCTCCTCATCCTTCTCTTCTTTCTCAGGCGCCTTTTGGCGGTGTTCGCTGGGTGTCACCCAGCGCGTTCCGCTGCTCGCGGAGTGCCCGCTCGCAGACGTCCGTCTGAAAAACACATTCTTGCCTCGGTGCCATGGGTCGCAGACCCCCCACGGCGGATCCAGGCAATTTGCGAGCAGCTGCTTTGCGAGTCGTGCTGCGATCGTGTCCAGGGTGGCGAGCCGCCCGGATCCAGCCGAGATCGCCCGTCCCGGCTGTTGCCCGGTGTGCGGCTGCCCGCGCAGGAGGCTGCAGGGACGGCCCCGAGGAGCCAGCGCGCGACTTCGGCGTGAACGATCAGAGGAGACGACGACGACGACGACGACGACGACGACGAGGACGCCGTCGTCGTCGACGCCGACCAGGACGCCGACGACGACGACAACGACGATGACGAGATCGCGCGGCCGCGACCAGATCGGTCGGCGCCCATCGATGGGTTCTCGGTGGTGGTGGCCCATGTGCCTCCTCTGAGACACGTTCCCGCAACGACTGTACGGTGGAGAGGCCAGCGGATTTGGCGGCGTTTCGTGCACTTGCAGCCAAGTCGCACAGTAAGAGTGAGGCCACTCTCCAAGGCTGCCCTCGCATCCTTGCCCCTCCGGCCCATATCCTTGGCGACTTTCGCTGGCCAGCCCCCTTCGCAAACGCCAGCATGACATTCGAAAGCCCTTGCATCCTTACCTCGCGTCCTTGGTCTTATTCTGCGCCTCGACTGTGCCATGCCAGGACCGAGGGCGCGCATGGCCGCCGCCAGGCATCTGGCGCACGGCCTCTGCCTGGCAGCGTTCCTGCACGACTGCTCGCTCGAGGAAGCTCGGCCATCGTCCCTCGTCGCTGTCTTCCCTCTGCCCGCTCTCGTCGCTTCTCCTGCTCATCAGTGCGTTTCATCCTCCGCCTCCCCATCCGCTCCCCATGCTCTCCTGTTCGTCCTGGTCGTCGTCGTCGTCGTCGTCGTCGTCGTCGTTGTCGTCCTTTTCCTCCACCTCCTCCCCCTCCTCTTCCTCCTCCTCCTCCTTCTCCTCCTCGTTCTCCTCTTTTCATTCGTGCTCGCAGTCCTTCCGGGTGTCCGGAAGGAGCTCGTCAACTGCAGAACGATCCAGCGCCGCCGCCCCCCGCACCCCTGCAGCGCTCAGCGCAGCAGCGTGCCGCCCAGCCCATGAGAGCGCGGCGGCGCTGCCCCCGATGCCGTCGCGCGCGCAAGGGCAGGTCCGCGGGGGGCGTTCGCCCTGGCGAGCTCCGGGGGCGGCGGAGGCGCTGTGGACTCGGTGGGCCCCCCCGCGCGGTGTGGCGACCGCACCGCGTGGCGGGTCCGTGAGGATATCCCGGGCCGCCGCACGGCTTTGGGCCTCGGGTCGCTGTCCAGCGACGTCTCGAGCGGCGGTGGCCTCTCCGAGGTCCCCAAGGCATCGCGTGGTGGCGGTCCGCGCAGTGAGGTCGCCGGGGTGTCCCGAGGCCACCGCTCACCACCCACCAAACCACCCCAACCCAACCCGAAGGCTCAGATTTACCCTCGATTTCCAGTGGGGGGGGGGGTCGGGAAACATCGAGAAAACACATGTGGAACCCTTACCCCCCCAACCCGAAATTCGGGCCTTCGGGTTGGGTTGGGGTGGTCTGGTAGGTAGTCAACCACGCGGTCCGTCGCAGCACGGTGCTGAGGCCCCGAGTGGTGTGCGCTGTCGGAGGGGCCTGAGCCCTCCGCGACGACGGGGGCCCAACGCGAAGCTTTTTGCGATCTCGCTCGGGGCCATCCTGGAGGCCTCTTGGGCCGTCTGCGCCGTGGCCGTGGTCGTGGTCGTCGTGGTCGTCCGTGTCGTCCCCCTCGTCGCCGTCGTCCTCGTCCTCCTCGTCCTCCTCCTCCTCGTCCTCCTCCTCCTCCTCGTCGTCGTCGTCGTCGTCGTCGAACGGCGGAGGTGCCGGGCGCGCCCTCGCCGGGGCGGGGCCCTCCGCGGCGCCCAGGCGAGGCGCGCTGCTGAAGCCCGTGTTCGTCTCGAAGGCGGCCGGCGCCCCCTGCGGCCTTCGCGCGGACTGCGCCTCGCCCTGCGCCTGCCAAGGGGGGGGGTGCTGGAGGTCAGGGGTAGGAGGAGGAGGGGGAGGGGGAGGGGAAGGGGGAGGAGGAGGAGGAGGAGGAGGAGGAGGAGGAGGGGAGGGGGAGGAGGAGGAGGAGGAGGAGGAGGAGGAGGAGGAGGAGGAGGAGGAGGAGGAGGAGGTGGAGGAGGAGGAGGAGAGGAAGGTGGTCGTACCCATACCGCTTTTTTTTTTATTTACCCCCCCCCTTTTTTCCGCCCGCTTTCCCGCTCTTTCGGCCTCCTGGGAGGCCCTCGTCGGCACGGCTGGATTCGCCTCGAGGTCCTGGTCAGAGCGCATCCCGGGAGAGTTCCGCGCAGCAGCGGTATTGGTACCTCCTTGGATTGTTTTTGTTCGGGGGCGTATTCGCTTCAACAAGTATCTGTTCTCTGGCCTCTCCGTTGTAGTCCTTTTGGAAGTTTTTTCGCCACGGCCAGTATGGCCAGTATTATTCTTCAGAATATGTCTTCTTTAATTTGCACTTGGGTGATTCTGACTCCCAGAACTCTGACCCCCTCTCGCAGGAGAATGGGCCGCGCTGTGACGATCCGCCGATCGGGCTCTGCCAGCCCATTTGTTTTTGTGTTTGCTGGCCCGTGATGTGTGTGTGTGTGTGTGTGTGTGTGTGTGTGGGAGGGCGCTTTCGGCTCCGGGGCCATCGGAAACAGGGTCCGGAACAAGACGTCGACCTGTGGGGGAAGAGCGGCAGGGCTTTTGAGGCTCAGGGGCCGGAGAAGTCGATCTGCCCGGGGGGCTTGGGAGAGGGAGGCTAGCCGCTGCCACCACGTCGCCGCAGGCCCACACTGGGCCCAGCTCTTTCCTCCTGCCCTCCGCCAAAAACCTATCCGGACAAGAACGGGAAGCGCCGCTTCTCTTAGCTTGCGTGCGCAGGCACACGGATTCCCACGTAAAGCGGAATGCGTCAACGAAATCGCTGTATAAATATTCCGTGGGTCCCGAAATCGCTATATAAGTATTGCGTGGACCCCGAAATCGCTATATAAACATCCCGTTGATCCCGAAGTCGCTATAGAAGTGTTCTGTGGGTCCCGAAATCGCTATAAAAGTATTGCGTGGACCCCGAAATCGCTTTATAATTATTTCGTGGACCCCGACCCGCCGCCGCTTCACCCAAATATCTGAGGCGCCTGCCCCCGGACCTCAGGATTCTTTCCCTGGGACCTGCTCCTACCCCTTCCTCCATCCTTCCTCCTCCTGTTCTGTTCTGGTGGGAGGGAGGGAGGGAGGGAGGGAGAGGGAGAAGGGCTCCTCAATCCAAGGGGATAGGGTCGAGAGTCCCGGCCAACGCTAGAGTCCGACGACCAGAGCATACCCGAGCGCAAAGTTTCGTTTTGCCGTTCTCCTCCTCCTCCTCCTCCTCCTCCTCCTCCTCCTCCCACTCGTCCTCTTCGTCCTCCTCGTCCTCCTCCTCCTCCTCCTCCTTCTCCTGCTCCTCCTCCTTCTCCTCGTCCTCCTCCTGCTCTTCCACCTCCCTCTCCTCGTCGTCGTCGTCCTCCTCCTCCTCCTCTTTGTCCTCCTCCTCCCCCTCCGCCTTCTCCTCTTCTTCCTCCTCCTCCTCCTCCTCCTCCTCCTCCTCTATCGTCCTCCCTCTCCTCGTTTCTCCTCTCTCCTCCTCCTCCTCTCCTGTCCTCGTCTCGTCCTCCTCCTCCTCCTCCTCCTCCTCATCCTCCCTTTTCTCCTCCTCCTCCTCCTCCTCCTCCTCCTCTTCCTCCTCTTCCTTGAGTATGTCTTGCGCCGTCTCTTGGGACCCTCTTGGGACGACCCATGGGCGCCTCTTGGGGGCCTCTTGGGGGCCTCTTGGGCCGTCTTGGGCGGTCTTGGGCTCTCTTGGAGCGCTCTTGGGCCGTCTTGGGGGGGAAAGCCGAAAAACAAAAACCCGAGGGAAACGGTAAAAAACGGGGGGGGGGGGGGGAAACCCGCAAACATACAACAACCAGAGGGAAAACGGCCAAACACGGGGGGGGAAATCCGAAAAACATGCAACAACCCGAGGGAAAACTGCCCCAAACGGGGGGAAACCCGA